AGATATGTCTTCGAGCAGTGGAGTCTTGGCATTATGTTTATATTTATTTTTCTCCTTTTTCTCGCTTACTTCTTCTTCGGCAGTAATGTTTTTATTGTCCTTGATTTCTTCCTTTGTAGCTTTCGTTTCCTTTATTCCTGTATCCTCCAAAGTTTGTATTGTTTCTACTGTCACTATCCTATAACCCACAATCCCGAGCAGATTGACAAAAGCAGAGCAAATAGCGAGGAAAATCATGAATCCTCCAACGTTCTGATTCTCTTCGTCCATAACGTGTCCCCGCATAAAATACTTGTCGTATATAAGACTGAAAATGCCAGGGCTTACGGCAAAAATAGCATAGAGAAGACCTATAATTTTGCCACGTTGATTTCCTTCAAAATTTACGGAGTTGGTTCCAAGACTTGAAATACCAGTAAGTCCGTTTCCAAGCAATGTGATAAAATAAAAAATGCACATGAGCCAAATATTTGATGCAAAATATGCAGTAAACTTTGTTGTCATCCACATCAGAGTATACCCGAGCCCAACTATTACAAGAGCCACTATAGATGTCACTTGTGGTCCAACTCTATCGAAAACAATTCCAACTGGAAGACCCACAACGTAAGCTCCGATTTGACCACTAGTTGCGATATTCTCAATATCGGTTTGAGTACAGTTCAATTTTTTCTTTACAGCAACTGCGAATATATTCCAAATATATTGAGTTCCACAAAAGAACATTCCGAGAATTCCTACAAATAACGAAACGTATTTCTGGATTTTTATTGTGCAATCCATTTTAGTATGTCCACGTATGGCACCTAGTTTTCGGGATAAGACGATTGTACGAGACGGATTGCTGGAACGCGACGAAAGAACTGCTACTTAGTAAACAGAATTGATGAAGCGGGTAATTTGTCAAATACTTCTTTCGATAATTAGAAAGTTAAAGTATATATTTGCAAAAATGGTGATCAAAAAACAAAAGTCTTCTGGGTCACGGCGAGTGGCATAATTTCTTCGAGTATCTTCAGTTACAAATCAACCATACTTGGATCGATTCGTACCATTCCATTAATTTTTTAGCCCGTAAGTGGAGGAACAAACCTATTCAGGATCACAAACTGTCTCTTGGTAAGAGGCGGCCCATTGAACCCGCTCAATGCGGTCCTTGCGAACGAATTGTCCAGTAGTTCCTGAATATAACGATGATCGAAAACGCCGCGTCTCTCTCTACCCCACCGCGGGCCGGGGCTGCTCTCTTCAGGGGTCACAACTGTTCAAAAGTTATTATATTTTTCTTTGATTATAGTAAGTCAATGACCATATACAAGTTGTATTTTCAAAATCACTTGTATCACCACGCGCTCCGTAGACGTGGCTTGCTTGTTAGACGACAAATTTCACTCTCATGAATATATCTATGAAAATAAGTGTGTAATATATGCAAATATGCAATATTGTGCAGCTAGATGAATTCGTCAAGGATACAGAATGCGGGCTACAGGACGCCATATAGCAAAACTTGAAACAATGTCATTAAGAGGGTTATTTCTTTTACTAAGAAGTTGTCATCACTAATAATAATAATAAACAGAATCGTCGATTTAATTCCTCTCTTAAGTTACATAAACGGTTTGGGTTAAAAGTGCAGATCTTAACTGTTTTTCGAAAAACCGTTTATGTAACTTAAGTGAGGAATTAAATCGACGATTCTGTTGTCTTCTGAATTATTTGTTCGCAAATATGTACATTTTCTTAAACATATGATACAAATATACGTTTGTTTTAAAAATTTCGTGGGAATTCTGCCTACAACGTGTGAAATAAGGAAAAAAGAAAAATCGTACCTTCGATGTTCCGACATTTTGTTACCAAAACGAACCGTTTCGGTAACCAGCGTAATCGAGTGGATCACCAGTGACTGTGCATGTGTTCTAATAAAAAGCTCTTATGAACGAAACATTACACTAAAACATTAATCTCAATGAGACTTTTTTGTTTAAAACAAAAGCAAAACTCAGCAAACCTATCTCACAATTCATTCTGTAAAAAAATATTCAAGAAACAAAAAATAAGGGTATTTACAGGTACAATGACACTCCACCCAATATTTGAGCTTTAAAAGAGATGAAACGGGAGAAAAATAGCTGAAAAAAACGACAATGCATAACAATTTTTCAAACGTTTGACTGATATGGTCACTAACCGATATGTCTCGGGGATCGATATTGATGTTATCTCATGTCAAATTCCTTTGTAGGTTTGGATAATCGAGGAACAATCAGAGATTAAACCTGACTCAATTTCGAACTTAGGGTGTGAGTACCGTAATCCAACACGAAATTCGAAAATTCTGAACACTACTTTGCACATATGGCGTTCGTGACCAACTATGAAACACTTACCACCCCCCCCCATAGTGTTATATATCAAAATGTACCTGTTCATATAGGGGTTCGATTGATCTACATCAAATTATAGGGAGTCTGGTTACTTTTTGAGATATTAGCGTCCATTTATTGTAACTCTCATTTGTTACCATTTGCTCAATTCTGAGATGATGGGCACACGCGTAGTAAACATTCTCACGCTGGAACTATTTTGACCTAAATCGCTATTTTCGTAATTAAAATGAAAGTTGAACTCCTCCCCTTTATTTTGATACCAAATCATGGCATACTAGGTACCCTAGAAGCCAACTACATGTATGGCGTTATTTAGAACAACATCACAGATTTTCAAATGGACTATATAGGGGTCATACCTTTTTTGCGGATGGGTATGGAACCTTACACATTAAAAAAGATGACGTTATTCAAATCCGGGTTCTGGTCAAGCTTCGAAAGAAACTCGGATGAAGATAAAATTGAAACAACGCAAGAAAAGCAATCTTCGATTTCGGTTTTCTTGGAAAAAGAAATCTGTGATTTTGGTTTTCTTGCAAAAATGAACGTTTGGAAAGACTTTGGAAAACTAAGGAGGATTGAAAGAAATGCTTCCACATCTTAAAATCGATCAGAACTAGCGCGAAAATGAGTCAAAAATCAATTTATGTTTATGCTATATGTGCAAATATAGACCAATGCAATGCAAATGTACGCGAACTATAATATCTCCCAAAAGATCCACACTACGTTATCAAATGGTAAAATTGTTTAAAGAATTTAAGCCCATATACTTGTAGGATGATTCAACACAGCAATCGCCTATTCGTTCGATTTCCTTACTCTCCGCCCGCCCGTCAACTCTCTCGGATATCCACGCATTATATGGGGATCTATATTGCCTCATGCATTATATTTTAATGCTTGTCATCTTATTATTGAAAAAATTAACATTATGGCTGAAACTCCCTAAATTACAGCCCACAGCTTTGCGGCACATTATGCCTAACTATCTGAAATACTAGTATACACAAGTTAGGCCATGTACACATATGTTTTTTTTCATACTGTTGCAATATGGTCATTTGATTCCTTATTTTTTTAATTCAAAGAAATCAATAGAATTGTGAATCGGACTTCAGTGTGTGTGTCCGGACACACTAACAGACGGACGAACGGACGGGCGGATTCCTATATCCTTAAACGAACTTCCTTCGTGAGACCGTAAGGACTAAAAGTATGAAGAAGGCATATCTACATGTATAAGTAAGCCACGCAAAAGGTAACGGCTAAAATTCGCATTCTTACCGAGTTAATTAATCCTATTTATGCATTGAATTATAACAATATAACCCTTTTTAAAAAAAAGTAAACATAATATTTCCTAATCTGACAAACTCATATCCAGAAGCCGTTACCTATAATCATCATCAGGCCTGGCTACGCCCAAGACGTGTACCAAATACACCCCATGCAGACAGATCGACTGAAATTACATTCGTATGATGTGAGACTCGACATTCACCACGAAACTTGAAATAATTTGTCACCCATGGAGCAAATTATTTTTTTACTGCTTGATAAATGGTGAATGACAGGCGCATTTAGTTGTATAAGTATGAGAATAGCATGATGTCTTGATATTTCAAGGTAACGTCGTTTGAAAAGTAATGGCGGTGATTGAAAAAACGATGTAAAGATAAAACCGCAACGAAATATTTGTAGATTTCTTTGAAGAACTAAAATATATACATCACATTTATACATGTTTATTTCTGTTTTGAAAAATTCGATATGCGATTTCTTAGTTTATCAAAGAAATCTACAAATATTTCGTTTCGGTTTTATCTATACATCGTAATTTCAATCAACGCCATCACTATTCAAACGAGTTATCTTGAAATATCAAGACGTCGTGCTATTCTCATACCAATAGAACTTATAGAATGTGACTGTCATTCACCATTTATAAAGCAGTAAACATTAACTTGCTTCATGGGTGGAATTTTTTTTCTAATTTCTCAGTGAATGTCGAGTCTCGCATCATACCTTGGAATAAAATCAGTATTCCCAGATCATAGGAATGTAATTTTAGGCGATCTGTCTGCACGGGGTGAAAAAGTACAATGGGGCCCGGGGAATGTGGGAGTTTCATTTTGGCGCAATGAGGACATTTTCATCAATCGGATCTCGTTTCCTTGGGATAAGACCAAGGAGGATTGGATCCCAGGGACTTAGCTTGACATTTTCCAAAAATGAATCCGATCTTGAAGGATGACGTCATTTTCCCTTCTGAACGCGATTCGCCAGTTCTGGTCTTATTAGGCTACGTAACAAAAATCAAGATGCACTACAATTGAGCTCGCGCACTCGAATCTTTTGAATTGCTGATTATTATGAATTTATAACCAGTTTTATGTCAGACAGTAACAAAATTCTAACTTTTTTATTGTTGGAAAATATGAGAGCCAATCTTTCTTGTATTGGGATTAGACTGAGGTTCAAAAGAGTGTTTACACAACTTCAAATAGTTGCTGGAGTAATTTTAGCATGACGTCATTTTTCTAATGTTGATGTATTGTATGACGTCATAGAAATTGCTTTCAAATCAAAATGTAATCAATGACGTCATAATATGCATTATAGTCTCAGCCAATCAGCGACGTTGGAGTCGTCATGGATATTATAATAACAAAAATATTATCTAATGAGGAAACAGCTTTTATTTACATTCCACTTAAAAATGGCAATAAAGAGATTACAGAAAGCATGGCGACAATTGAGAATGTTATTCTCAAAGAAACAAACAAATAGCAAGGGAGTTGGAACTGATTTGTCGATACCGGAGCATTGCGAAAGTAAGCTACATGTAGGATCTAATGTTACCTTCTCGACTTTTCTCATTCACCTCCCAAGTTTCCATGTCGACTACGCGCGCATCATTATTTAAGTATCATAAAGTTAAAATAAAGCTAATGATTTCATTTTTCAGCTGAAAATGTATTCACATTCGTAGTGGCTAACAGGTTAGCAGAGGCACTCGCTGAAAGAGGTAGGTCATTAAAATAGACATAAAATCCAAAGAGTCGTCTTTACGTATTTAAAAATCGTTTCCATTATAAGATTTTTAGAAATCATAATATGCATTGTGAAATTAAATGTGAAATAAAAAAAATATCTAAAATCATACAAATCATGTATCGGTAACATGCACCAACTTAGTTGCAGAATGACATGAGATAATTTAAGTAAATTAGTATAACAATTTACTCTTCTAGACGCTTTGAGAAAAGAAAAAGACCAAAAGGAAAAGGAGTTGGAGATGGAACGACTGGCAGTTAACCGAGCACAAAGGGAAATAGGTAATTCAATTGCCTTGTATCATTTACATAATTGTAGTGTATTGAACTACATTAAAACACTGTACCATGAATCGGTGGGGGGCCGCCTTATACCACATTGGTTTGTATAATACAATTTATAAGCACGCTGTACTTCGGAACGTGGATACTTACTGGATACTATCCGAGATTTGTAAAATTCTACAAAATTGCCGAACTGATTACTTAAATATAAAAGGTTTTAAAGAAAACACATTAAATCGGACAGACTTCGATGGTAAGACGATGTGTGAGTATGAATCCTTCATAAATCATGTAACTGTTTGCTTTCAGATGAGCTGAAAGAAGAACTCACATGGCTGAGGGAGTTGGTTGAAAGTACTTTAAACATCACTGACTTTGGCACACTCTGCAATGATGGCCCAGTTGGCGATAAAGAAAGTGAACTGGATCGTAAAGACTTGGATACTGACGCTGCATTGATTGCATTAGTGCCTTTATGATAATCATTTAAATCATTTATAAATACGTACACATAGTACGGACGGCAATATCGTCCCTGAAGTTCCGAGCTGTGTCACGTAAGTGTCCTGCTGATAGTCACGCAAGTCGACTGACACCGGACACTGACTGTCATTCTAGCACCCGTTAAAGACACAACTTAGACACCAGACAATATTTGGAGCACATATGGACTGACGTTCTTCGTCCTTAGAAATTAACAAAGAATCCTTGATAACAAACATCACAGAACCATGAAACACATGAAGTCATATTTGAAAAGTGCAACACCACTGAATAGGTTAAAGAAAAAACTCAGTAATTGAACGAGAATGTAAATAAATAAATGTATAAATTGTAAATAAATTCTTAGGTTGTTTAAATTCTGTGTGTAACTGTTAAATAAGTTCTGTGTGATTGAGTATAATTACTGTTACCCATTAGTGTCGCTGAGAACATATAAAATCAAAAGTTTTTTTAAAAATTCATTGTTGTCGTCATAGTGACAGTTGTCAATGCAAGATAAATCAAAATCGGTCAATTTCACCACAATTGGCGCTTAAGACTACATATTAGGATCACCTATTAAAGCCAGCTATTCTTCAGCGCCAATGGCAACTATTACACATAATTCAGCATCATAGCTTTCCATTGTTACCAAATTACAGCATAGGGCCACTTTCAAACTCCTTAAATGATGGACTTTTTAGGTTTTCTCACTCGGGTGGGTATTAATATAAGGTCAAACATGGTTATGCTTCTTAAGTTCATGCTCAGTTGTCATTAATCAAATTAAAAATGGGATTAATCGAATTAAAATGAGATTATTATAACATCTTATTAGTATAATACACACCCTTACAAAACTTTGGTAACGTTTACCCTCATTGGCTGGCATTTTCGCGTTTGAAAATTGAATTGTTTTCTCAATTACTAAAGAACATCGGAATGAATCGGATGAATTTTCAATTGATTAATTTTTTGAATAGACAGGGCTTATCAGGTCGGCAAATAAAGGTGCTAATGCTGCAAAACGTTTGGGTGGGAGTGTAAATACAAATTGATAGATTATTCCTAATTGCTTCTGCGTTCCATTTATTCATATTCAAATCAAAAAGCCATTACCTCTCCGAGTGAAATCATAATTTGCTGTTTTTAATAATCAGCTATTTTTACTCAGCCTGTACACTCTCCTCAAAAATTGGAAAAATCGACGTCTTATTAGAGAAAATCTGCTTATGCTTGAATAGGACTTTTATACAACAAGTGCAATTGTTGGAAAGGGTTTCACGGAGTCTACTATCCCAGCAGTCTCGCACAAGCTCCATGGTTAATTTTTGAAATAAACACATAAACAGGCTAAATATGATATAATTGTCAGAAAGTTTACAAACTCTTGAAGGAGTGTAGTGAAATTGTACATAAACACATTGTGAACCATTTCCTGCTATATTTCTACGGATAAAGAAAAATAACTCTTTAATTATCATGCCATTCAACATGCAGTAATATCTTAAAGGTGGGATCGATGTCAAATGTAAACCTTTCATTCAAGATATGGTAATAAGCCATATTCTACTTAATCTATTCAACCTACCTTAACTTGAGCACAGCAGATGGACATCGGAAAATTGAAATAGTACGCCATTTTTGAAATTCGGCCTAATTTGGGGAAATTTAGGTTCATAATTATAGGGGCTCATTTTCCAAATAAGGCATATTTTCTCAAAAAAATGAATCCTTGTTTGAAAATGTGACCAAAAATAATTGAGCTCCATGTGTAGGCGTAAAACATTTCAGTGTTCCCAAAGATTAAGTACATGAAGTTAAAAACACACAATAAACGTGGGTGTTGATGACTGTTTATTAATCATAGAAGGTATATTTTTGTTACAATGTTTGACCACAAGATTTGTCATTAAATATGAATTAAAGTTTCCCGTTTCGCTAATAATGCATTACAAAAATCGGAAATTCAAAATGAGAGCTAATATGTCCGAATCGAAAATAACATGACTTTAAAGGACTACGTGAAGCTTACCGTATGAAAACAATATGGCGGCTCAAAACGAGTCTACTGTACTGGATCCGTCCATTTTTAAGAAATTGGTAAATTTATCGGTACCGTCTTCCTGAAGATAAACAATCCGTCTAAATGAGTTTACAATACGTCAACCTTGAGAGGGAGAATTATCCAATTGATGCATGGGCCAATATAAATCTTTGTATAATTTTGGTAAAATTGATTTGTCAAAATTAAAACTTCACTTTATAAATGCGTAGCGACTTGTACGTCACTATTGCTACATAAACCAAGTGCTTATTTAAAACCCGGGGCTTAGTTGTTACCAAACGAAACGAGAAACGGCACGACATCCGGGGCTTTGTTTGCTCTTCATTAAACAAATGGTGTATAGAGGGGTAGGTTTTCTCAGACCGAAGTACCTTTTTCTGTACCGTTTTGCGGTTATTTTACTCTATAGCATTGGAATCTGTTCACATCATGAGCTACATAATTGATTAACTTAAATATATGACATGTAAAAACGGCTTGATACGAACAGAATAAACAGGGAAATGTACTTGAAGTGGCGATTGTGTTTTCTGTCAGTCAGTGTTACCCCCCCCCCCCCCTTACCCAGCTCTATAGCGCGGTATAAGGTGACCTAATTATGCAAATGAGAAAACCCTATTAGTTTCAAGGTGGTACAATCAAATCTGACGCGGACCATCTTCGTTGTAACTGTTGTTTCTGAATGGTTCGTGACCGAAATTCACTTAACTATAGAAAATATGTTACGTTATAACGATAGATTGTTTTTACTTACCATGGGCTTTGTACTTACCAATCAACATGTGCGAATTCAAATCGGATGCGGTAAAAGACCGAACGCCAATTTGCGAACGTTCCGGGTATTACGTTCGCCCTTGCATAAACAGGCAGATGTATGTCTTTTTATACATTGACCTCAACCTACGTACCATTGAGTGTTTTCCGGAATCACGCTATTTATTCTAATCATTTTAAGAAATTCTACTACCCCGCAATAAGTTTAACAACTAAATGCCCTCATTGAAAGGCGCGTTTATATTTATGGTGTCTTACTGTGTATCTCATACTTAAGTGGGTTTAGGGTAGATATCACTCGGGAATATATATCATATCTGAGGAGCGGACAGGATATATTGTAAATGTCCCGCTCCAGGCCAAATGCGGGCAGATATAATATATCCATCCCGCTCCCGGGAATTTTTCAAAAGTTTAAACAAGAAAATGCAGCAAACTCCTCGAGTCGAGGTCTCCAAGTCAAAAAAATTCCTGACCCTATATATCTGTTGATTATCCGAGCGTGGCACTGAACGAACCTATATGCCTAGTTATTATTTGTTTAGTTGTTGGTTGGGTAACATGTTTATGACGTCACAAATGATGCGAAGAATCTTTAAACCAATCAGTGAAGTCTATATTAATTGTTTTAGTTGTTGATGTGGCGATACGTGTCTGTGACGTCACGGGTGATTGCATCATATTCTAGTAACGCCATTTTACGACATTGCATAATTTTATTTGATTTTGGCTCCATTTCACTTTATTTGAGACTTTTAAAAATATAATAATGAGTCAGTATTTTTTCTTATATATATCTATATTTGAAATTGAGGTCAAAGTCCGAAGATTTGATCAACTGATTGAAATCTCATTTTAAAGAGGTGAAGAAGTGAATAATTACAGGAGCAAACGTGATCAATGGTTCGAGGTCTCCCGCAAAGTAGTCGCTACCCTCCTACATTGCGCTGCCTTCGGCAGAGAGGAGACCTCGAAAAAAGTTTAAATATCAAAAGTTTTAATTTTCTAATTTTAAAATTTAAATTTTTTAAGTTTAAAGAGGCTCTATGCCATAGGATAGCACAATCAAGACCCCTCTGTACTTTTTTGCATATTGAGTTTCACCACATATATACCCATCTACTTACCAAAGAAGAAGTCCCTGATCCCCCTCTTTCAGTGTTAATTTTGCGATTGTGCTGGCTGATCTAATTACTAGTATTTTCGAAGAAATTAATTCAATCTGAAGTTTGAAAATACCGGGAAAGTCCTCTTGTAATCTGATTGGTCGTTGAATTTGTTTATCATAAACCTGTTTGGCTGCCTGGTTCAAGGCGCTCGTGGGCGCTTGTGTGACTCAATGGGGATTCCCCTCGCTAGCCGAGGAATCGATTGTGTTCAATTCTGGAGTTTGGTTGTTCTGTTGATTATTTCCGATATTGCAGCAATGATATACCGAAAGTTATTCTCAAGATATATCCATGGTATGTGAAATATTATATGAGCAATAACAATAGGACAGCATTGATTGTCTGGGGGAGAAACCTATGGTATAATGCATCTTTAAATGTTACAATTTCATTGTATTGAACAAAAAGAATATTACGAAAACGTTAAATATAAATATCTTGTCATTTGAAAAGGTGGAAAAGGTTATATCTACCCTAAACCCACTCAAGTATGAGATACACCAGTTATGCACGGTCGGTTTGGATACATGGAATATCCCTTGGGATATACAATAAATCTTCCCTCGGTCCCTTCGGTCCATCGGGAAGATATATTGTATATCCATCGGGATATTTCCTGTATCCAAAACCTCCCAGTGCATAACCCCTATATATATCAGGCATTTTATGTACGAACAAGCTTAAAATATGGCCAAATTATTAAAGGGGAACTCAGTTTTACAAATTCTTTTTCAGGGAGTGTGTTTCGTGTCCGTCTTCAGAAGAAATCTCCTATAGACTATCATGTGTTTTCTTAAAGGCTTCCTGAATATCAACAGAACTGAAGAAACTAACACAAAGTGTTACTAACAAGAGCTTATAAACTGATTTTTACGGAACTTGCGAAATATCTTTATCTTTATAACATAAGGAGATATCGTGTCGAGAAAGACCATTACGGCTCACTCTCCCTTATCCTACACTTAGTGTACTAAATGTATGATAACATCAAAAAATAAATTTGATATTTATTGGCAAAACGAATAACCGAACTCTTTGCGGAGGATATCGTGACGATATACTCCGGGAAACCCAATATGCGGAGGATATTGTGACGATATACTCCGCTTGTTGATTTCCCGCCAAATTGACTCTATTTGGCATGAAATTCATTTTGCAATGATATTATACATTTAGTACACTCCTTGTAAGTGTAGGATAAAAATAACATCCTATGATTTATTTCAGAATATCATTTCAATCTACTCGGTGATATTGATACATGCACTCGTTCGCTTTGCTCTCTCGTGCAGATATCAATATCACCTCGTAGATAAAAATGATATTCCTCAAAATCATAGGATATCCTA